TTTTGGTTCGTCTGCAATTTCTCTTTTCTTCTTTAAAGTCTACTGTTGTTCATCGTTGCATATTTGAGTCTTACCTCTCTGTTTTGGTTAAGTGATCTCTCAAATATGCGAGAAGAATTACCTTCAGGTTTTAGGGTGTGTTTGGAATAATAGAAAACTTGGAGAACAAATAGTAATCTTACTCATTTTTTGGTATTTGGTACACAAATTAAGGAAAATAAATTCTCAAANTCACTCGTAAAATTTAAATAATGAAAAGTTTTATATTCGCGACAAGGGTTTAGGGGGAGTGATTTTCTTTCTGCATTTTTTGCTCAAACGGGTACATCACTACTAAATTAAAAGTTATCTTGAATTTTTATAAAATATTTTATTTTGTATTTTAACATACCCAATATATTTAGACCCTGTCTCTAAAGATTGTTGTGAGATGTATTTGATCCAACTTACCTTAATTAAATATATTGGGTTCGAATCCTGTGATTAAAAAAAATCCTGTTAAAACGTGTTCTCTCTTTTACTAGGTCTTACGCGGTACGAATCTAGATTAATCGGGGTCTAAATACAAATACGAGTAGAAAAATAAATTTTTTTTTGGGCCCCTCAAAATTTGGGGCCCTAAAGCCTTTGCTTTAGTGGCTTGACCCTTAGGCCGCTCCCGCATAAGTTCATGTGTACTTACATTCATGTATTCGTTTCTTCAAAAAAAAATGCTAAAGTGTTTCACACCATATGTTTTAATTTATGCGATATAATTTAATTTAAATATGTACAAAGTTTAAAAATACTGAAAAATAAAGACTTTTGAAACTATCTTTAATATGATATAACATTTTTATAATTATAAAACTTTAAAAGTTGTAGTCTTAAACATGTTATAATCTTTGTGACTATAAAAATTTCTCATTAAGGACAAATAAAATATGTAAAATTGATTGTCTTTAAATATAAAAATGTATAATTCTTTTACAAAAATGACTAATAAGGAAAATAATACCACATATACGAGAACCGAGGGAGTAGTATTAGCACTTAAGAAATGACATGATGGTTCCTTTGGAAACACTAAAAGTAGGCGTTTGGATATCAAAATTGTAATTTTTGAAAAAAAAATAATAGTATTCGGAGATAAGTTAAAAAATGGTATTTGAAATTTGAAATTATATTTGAACATGCATTTTATTTGAAAAAAAATGTTTCAGCTTTGTGAGTGGGAAAAAAAGTTTTACTGAATTTTTTTAAAAAGTGATAATTTTTGAAAAACTCATTTTCGAATTTTTTTCAAAAACTTGCAAAGTTTCATGGACAAACATATTTTTAAATAAGAAAATTTTTTATGGACAAACGGGGCCTAAAATAGATATTCATGAAGGTGAAAGAGTCATTTGGCTAATAGGCAGACAGATTTAGATTTTCATGTCAATGTCAGTCTTTACTTCTATTTAAAAGATGTCGTGTTTAGTTGCGAATATAACAATCTTAATCGAGACAGATAACGACATCACTCTTTAACAATAATGCATAGTTGCAAAATGAAGATGAAAACTAAGGAATCACCTGTCAACGGACTTGTAATTCGGCGACACAATGACTTTAAGCTTCGGGCTTCTAGTTATTATGAACTCTCTCGTTTGATTACCAAGATAAAGATATTAAATAAAATTATATTTATCCATCTTTGATTATGAATATTAGTTAATGATAGAATATATTTTGTAATAAAATAGCGGGGTTAACTATCTCATATAAATAGTAACTCTATTTCATAGGATATCCTACTTCATGGGATATCCTTGTCTATCCCAAGATTGAACCAAACAATTGGTGTACGTGTAACCACCTAAGTGGAGCCAAAGATCACAAGTCACAACTACTCAATAAAATTGAATCAATAGATTATTTGTTTCAGTTTAACGTAATATGGTACGAGTTTTTTAATTTGACTTTAAGAAGTACAAAATATAAAATACTTTATTTAGGGAAAACAAATTTTTTTTTATAATGATTGGGCGTGCGTGCTGAATATTCACTCTTAAAAATGGGAAATAAAAGAAAAGTCACTAGAGAACCACGAACCAAAGATATACACTATTCAAATATCCAAATGACCTCTAGGCAAAGATTAGAAAACCTATATATATCTCATTGAATAATTATCCTATCTTCACTTGTGGCCATTCACTGGTTCGAAGGATCAACAAAATAGTTCTTCTTGGACATTTTAGCCTACTTTCATAAAATCATTTTAACTAAAATGCAGAGGTGTCTAAAATTGAGATTATTTATAGTCATGAGCTTGGATTTACTTGTGCTAGTTGAACTAATAACTATGAAAAATGTCACTGTTGCACGAGAAAACTACTATTCAATATGCATAATACGATCAATAGCATGACATAATTTTTGGATTTAATAGAAGATTTGGAACACTTAGTTGAAGAGTTAAAGATCTATGCATATTAATTTAATTAATAGTGACGGCTGCGCGCTCAATTGTGTTAATACTTAAAATAGACGATGACTTGTACGTAGCTTAGTATTTCAGTATTACTCTGCCTTAGAGATATTCTCATGACCTACCAAGCTGGTAACCTGCATATTTATCTTGAAATGGGAATAGTCAGAAAAATTCAAGCGGAAAGGACAAAGGTAAGTATATTCCCTATAATTACTTGTAACTATGGTATGAATAATCAAACCCATTTTTTTCTTGAACTCATTGTCATTGTCCTCAAGAAAAAGGGAAAACACAACATGGGAAAAATTAAGGATCTGAATGAAACAAGAATCGCACGTGATTGTACCATGAATATCTCTCTTAACGAGGAAATAATAATTAGACTCGTTGAGGGAATTAATTCGCTTATTCTAAGTAATTATCCATAAGAATTGAATTCAAATCTTACTTTCATATGACTATAGTGTCTTTATAATTACTAGGGAGAAGAATATTTGTTCACTGGCAATCGATTCAAACTTGTCAAGCAGTCAAGGTGATGGGAAGACACCGCAAATGTTAAATGAAGAGACAGAAATGAGAGAAAGACAGACTTTCCGTTTTCCCCGGCAATGAATCACCCAACCAAACAAGCAGGGCAGATCTATGTACATGGTGGTTCGGGGTGGCACGTCACCCGCAAGCTTCGGCAAAAACCTTATGTATATATGTAAATATATATAAAAAATAGGATATATATTTAAAGTGCCACCCGTAGAACAAAAGTGACAAAGGTGCCAGTGGCAAAGGTCTGCCTTTAAGTACACTACACAACACACTCTTCTATATTTTATAGTAAATGTTTTACTTTTCTATTTGTTTGTTTTGTTGGTTTAAGTATAAATAAATAAGATAAAATAATAATAAAAGTACTCTTTATATAATATTCTCTTATAATTAAAGGTAAAACAATGCCCCAATTCCCCAAGTCCACTTTCCCCTTTCCCTTTCTCCATTTCTCGCTGCTTCAGCCTTTATTCACGCCACTGCTTCTGCTTCTTGCTTCTATGTTAGACTGTTACTGTAAGCATTTATTTTGCTTTACCTTTGCGGATGCTTGATGCTTCACACATTCATTGCTCACTAGTCATTTCACTACGCCCACCATTGTAAAGTTTCCTCAATCCTCACCTCCTCATGTTTATTTCTTAACCCTATGTGGCTATTTTTTTCCCATCAGATATATGTTCTTGCTATGTTTTTATTTTGTATTTAGTTGGATATTAGTGTTCTTGCTAAACTTTATTGTCACTATTTTGATTTTTTTTTGTTATGTATTTTTTTGGTTGTGTTTGAAAATCAAATGCCTCTTAAATGGTTTCACTGTAGAATTTAAAATAACTAAACTTATTGATGGTATGAACTGCTAGAAATTGTTCTATATTTCTCACTAGAATGAACTTTTATTTTATAGGAATTGATTGAGATGGATAAATTTGTCACGAGGTTGGACCATTCTCAACCAAGTCCTAGTTGTCAATCCTTGATCCAAGCGAATGCCAATCATTCTTATCTTATAAATGAACTCGATTTGGGGTCACTTAAAGGCGATCCGGGAGAAAGAATACCTATTGCTGACTATAACCCTAGAATACGAGATGAAGTAAGGAAACATTACATTCAACAAGGTCCTTGTCAACCTTCCAAGCATCAATTTTTCAAAACTCAAATAGGAGGAAGAATGCGTCAATTTGTTCCAAGTTGGTTCAATGGTCAATTTTCTAAATGGTTGGAGTATAGTGTGAAGAAAGATGCGGCATTTTGCTTATGTTGTTATTTGTTCAAAAATAAATTTATTCATGGAAGTGCGGGTGAATTTTATACAAAAAATGGTTTTAGGGCTTGGAATAAGGGTCTTGAAAGATTGCGTTTACATGTTGGTGATGTTAATAGTGTCCATGATAAATGTTTCAAGAAGATGCTAGATTTATCAAATCATCATCAATCAATTCAAGTTGTTTTTGATAAGCACTCCGAGAAGTTGAAAAGTGAGTATCGAATGCGTTTAGAAGTATCAATTGACGTGGCAAGACTTCTATTGTTGTATGGATTGCCTTTTTGGGGCCATGACGAAAGTGAATCTTCAACAAATCAAGGCCTCTTTCTAGGATTCTTACGATGGCATGGGGACAAGCATCCAGATGTGGGAAAAGTAATATTAGAAAATGCTCCACAAAATGATACTTTGACTTGCCCTATGATCCAAAAGGATATTATCAATGCTTGTGCAAAAGAAACATTAAAAGCTATAATTAGAGACTTGAATAGAGATTATTTTGGTATATTAGTTGATGAGTCCAAAGATATCTCACACAAAGAACAAATGGCTCTTGTTTTGTGTTATGTTGATAAAAATGGTGAAGTGGTAGAGTGATTTGTTGGTCTTGTCCATGTTAGTGATACATCGGCATGCTCATTGAAGGAAGCAATCTAATCTTTGCTTTCGGACCACTTAATAAGTCCATCTCAAATACGTGGACAAGGTTATGATGGAGCTAGTAACATGAGGGGAGAGATAAGTGGTCTTAAGACTTTGATTATGAAAGACAGCTCATCGGCATATTACATTCATTGCTTTGCTCATCAATTGCAATTAACACTTGTAGCTATGTCTAAAAAGCATTTGGATGTCGAAGACTTCTTTTGTCATGTTACTAATGTGTTAAATGTCATTGGGGTATCTTTTAAGCGCAGAGATTTGCTTTGCCATCTTCAAGCTGAAAAACTAGAGCAATTACTTGAGTCCGGTGAAATTCATACCGGGCGAGGACTAAATCAAGAACGCGGGCTTCAAAGATCAGGTAATACTCGTTGGGGATCACATTTCAAAACATTAGATAACTTTATTGTTATTTTCTCATCTATTATTCGTGTGCTTGAAGTGATTGAACATGAAGGTTCTACCTCAAATGAGAGAAATCAAGAAAAATATCTTTTGAGTGAGATAATAACATTCAAATTTATTTTTATGCTTCACTTGATGTTGAAAGTTTTGGCAATGTCAAATGAGTTGAACAAGATCCTACAAAAGAGAGATCAAGATATTGTTAATGTCGTGGAGTTTTTTATTATTACAAAGAAAAGATTGCAAGATATGAGAGAAACTGGATGAGAATCTATGCTAGATGATGTTTCCTTATTTTGTCATATGCATGATATTATGATTTCCAAGATGGATGAATCCTATTTTCCTGGAAAGTCGAAGCGTAAGTCTTCTGGTATTTGTTATTCACACCACTTGTGTGTTGATATCTTTTATGCTGTAATTGATGTGCAACTTCAAGAGCTTAATGACCGTTTTGATGTAGTAAGTAGCGATTTGCTTCTTGGGATGGCTAGTTTGAATCCATCCAATTCTTTTGCTAATTTTGATAAAGGTAGAATAATGACTTTAGCAAAATGTTACCCAAATGAGTTTGATGAAGTACACATTCGATACTTGAGTTATCAACTAGATACTTTCATAATTCATATACGAGTTGGCAATCCCAAGTTCTCCAACTTGCAAGGAATTAGTGATTTGACAAAAGCATTGGTTGAGACAAATCTTGTGGAGACTTATTCACATATTTATTTACTTGTAAAGTTAACTCTGATTTTACCTGTTGCTACCGCAACTGTGGAGAGAACATTCTCATCCATGAAGCAGATAAAAAATGAAGAGAGGAATATCATGGGTGATCAATATTTAAATGATTATTTAATTTATTATATAGAGCGTGATGTATTTACAAATGTAAGTAATGATGTCATTATTGATCGTTTTCAAAATATGAAAGCACGTCGAGGACAATTGTAAATAGATTGTATATGATATTAAAAATATTGTTGGAAGTTTTATGCTTTGCGTCAATTAGTTATAGTTATTATATTTTCTTTCGTTTGATCTATTTGTCTATATACCCCGAAGTCCCGAATCGACGCTCGAGTTGATCACATCGATTAGGTCGGCACCCGTAACCCCTAAATTCTGGATCCGCCTCTGATTGAAAAGGGAAAAAGGCTAAAATTATCCCTCTACTATTGAAAATTAGCGTTTATACCAATTTCTACTTTCAGTCCAAAATCATACCTACCGTTAATATAATATATAATTTTGTCCTTAACCCTAACAGATGTCCAACACGGCATCGGGACCCCATAATAATTTGCCAACTAGGAAAATCTTGAACCATTATTTTAGAAACCCGACCGATCCTTGTAACCCATTAATTAGTCTCACTAAAATAGTCTTAACATGTTTTAATTGTCAAAATCTTCAGTTGCTGATAGAAAAAAGGGAAAGAGCTCTCACCTACCCTCTTCACTGTACGTTCGTCTTCATCGTTGGATGTATACGAAGGTACCAATTTTCGTTTTAAAAACTGTAAATCGTCGTTCCTTTGCTTTATTTTTGGTATCAACTGAAGCATATCGTCTAATTGTTTCAAGTTAGAGCTAAACGTAACATAGGATTTTCGATTTTTTATTTCTTTGACTAGGGTTTTGAATGATTCGTTTAGATATGTATTATTTTAGTTATGTGGTGTGTCTGTTTATTGTTGTTTTTGCTTGCATGTGGTCTGTTCATACTCGATTTTAAAACCTAAATTTATTTTTGTTCTTTTATTCGTTATTACTGGAGGTGGTTTGTGGGTTATGATTTTGTAGTGGAATGATCCCTATCTGGTATATTGATTCCTTGTTTCGACTTAGGGTTTCAATTTTGGTGGTCCTACATATATGGTCTCTAACAAAAAAGAGGTCCCTTTTGTGTTGGATCTGTTTCTTTTGCTCTGATTTTGGGTGTTTGGTCCCGTATTTCTTATACACATGCGTTGAGTTGAGAGATAAGTGGGTCATAATTCAGTTATTTTTTGTTTTATTTATAGACTTGGGACATTAGTTTTATACTTTATTCTGGGGTCCCCCCATCATCCCTTTGTTTATTGTAGTTGTGTCTTGATTGACTCCTTCTTGTGTGACTGCCCACTACTTTTTTATTTCTTTATGTATCTTTTGTCTCAACTTTATGTGGTTCTTCTGTCTTTATTGTATGGTCCAAATTTGGTTATTGTTTTTATTTATGGTTATCCACTTTGTTAGCTTATTATATAGTTTGTATAGTTCTTTTATACTTGTATTTGTACTTTTTATTTGTATAGTGTAATTACTTTCTGTTAAATTTTTTCCCTTGCTTATTCTGCAACTTATATGCAACGGTCTTATTGGATATGATCTTTCATTATGATGGTGATTGGATATATAGTCCACAAGTGTTATACTCAAGAAAGCTTGTGCACACTGTTAAAGGTAATGACTCTGACCTATTGTCTTACAACTATTTAGTAAATGAATTTACTTCTAAGTTGGGGTTTATTGGTGTTCAACAAGTAATTGTTAATGGGCCTTCTGGTAGATATTATGAAATAAAGAGTGATCAAGGTGTTAGGAGTCTACTGTCTTTGGTCAGTGATCAGTTTAATGTTATTGAATTCTTACTGTAGATGAGTATGAGTTAAGTATTAATGTTCATAATATAGTCCATCATATTGAGTCATACACATCAGAACTTGAGGCTGCTACTGACTGTAGTTCAGATGACAATGAAGAACATGTATCTCATTCTTCAGATTGTGATTCTGATTCATTAAAAGGACTTCATACACAAAAAGAGAGGAAGATATCTGATAAGTTGACTGATTATAAGGAGTTACACAAGTCCATGACATTCAAAGACATTCTAGAAGCTAGAAAATTCATCGACATGTATTCCCTTGCTAATGGTTATAGGTTAAAACAACTTAAGAGTTGCCCCCCAAAGGCTTAGGTACAAATGTTTAGATGAAGACTACCCATTTGTTTGTCATATTTCTAAAGACTCTAAAGGTCATGGTGTTAAATTCAAGACTTTAAGAGAAGAACACAAGTGTAATACTACATATGATAACCACAAGGTAGATGCAAAAACTATAGCTGCTTACTTTAAGAAAGGGTTGCAAGATAATCCTAAAATTAAAATTAAGGAGATGATGGCAAGTGTAAAAGATGCATTTAATATCAATGCTAGTCATTCAAAGTATTCGAGAGCCAACAGAATAATCCTGGAGAAAATGAAGGGTTGTTTTGCAGATAATTTCAATAAGCTTGAGGCTTATGCTAATGAATTAAGGTCCAGTAATCCAGGAACTGATGTAGTGATTAACATATTAAAGTAAAAATGAAATTTTTAATAATGTATATATGTTTTCATGCATTGAAAATTGGGTTTAAGAGTGGGTTGAGACCATTTATTGTCTTGGACGGAACCTTTTTGAAAGAGAAATGCAAGGGTCTACTGTTAGTAGCTGTTGCTCAAGACTCCATGAGACACTTTTATCCCCTAGCTTGGGTTGTTGTTGATAAAGAAACTAAAGTTACACGGAGTTGGTTCTTAAGACCAGTACAACATTTATTGGACCTCAAAATAGGATAAGGGATCATATTTATATCAGATATGCAGAATGTATGAACCAAACAATTTAACCTAATTTTGTTTGTAATATATTTATGTATTTACTGATGCATCTCTTTTTTGTTTTCTCATTTTCAAGGTTTGATTGATTTAGTCTAGTTATTCCTTCGTGAGGCACACCACAAATATTGTGTAACACATAGAGGTAAATTGGTACAAAAAATGGGGACATGGGGAATATAAGAAGTACTTTTGGTGGCTGCATGGAGCACATATGAAGAAGAATTTAAAGATCAATTAAGGAATATGGGACAAGTGGATGAAGATGGTAAAGATGCTGTTGAAGATTTGATGAGGTACCCACCCCAAAGTTGGAGTAGAGCATACTTTGACACTGTTTGAAAGAACTACTCAATGGACAACAACCTAACTGAGTCCTTCAATTCATGAATCGAGGAAGCAAGATTCAAGCTAAATATCAAGATACTTGAGGATATTAGAGTAAAAGTTATGAACATGCTAAAGGAACATGAATCTACTGTAATGACATGGAGTAATGACTTCAGTCCCCAAACTATGCTATTATATAGCTAATACTTGAAGATTGCAAATAAGTGTCATGTTCATTCCAATAGTAAAGAAGGGTATCAAGTGAGTGAAGATGGTGACAGACACACAGTGAATATGGTGGTGAAGAGATGCACATGTAGGACATGTGACCTTAATGGAATCCTATGTCCTCATGCAATCAAAGCAATACAACACAACAAGATTGTAATGACCCGGCCAGTCATTTTGAGTATTATAACTCTGTTTTTTTATTTACTGCTCAATTTATGCTTTACAGTTATTTTATGACTTACCGGATTAGTTGGTTTGGGTCCGGAAGGATTTCAGAGTGAAATAAAATATTTAGCCTCATAATTGAAAACTTAAGTTGGAAAAGTTGACCGGATGTCGACTTATATGTAAACGACCTCAGATTTAAATTATGGTGATTCCAATAGCTCCATATGGTGATTTTGAACTTAGGAGCGTGTCCGGAAAGTTATTTGGAGGTCCATAGTGGAATTAGACTTGAAATGCCGAAAGTTAAATTTTTGGGAAGTTTGACCGGGGATTGACTTTTTGATATCGGGGTCGGAATCCGATTCTGAAAATTATAATAGGTCTGTTATGTCATTTATGACTTGTGTGCAAAATTTGAGGTCAATCGGACTTGATTTGACAGGTTCCGACATCGTTTATAGAATTTGGAAATTTCAAAGTTCATTAGGCTTGAATTGGGGTGTGATTCGTGTTTTTAGCATTGTTGGATATGATTTGAAGGCTCGACTAAGTTCGTATGATATTTTGAGACTTGATGGTGTATATGGTTGAGGTCCCGGGGGTCTCGGGTGAGTTTCAGACAATTTCTAGGCCATTTAAACTACTAGTTTTTGGCTACAGCAGTGTGCTATGCAATCGCGTGGAATTGGCCGCGATAACGAAGCACAAAATGGGAAAAAATGGCCAGTGTATCGCGGTTGTGGAAGGCCTTACGTGATCGCGTAGAGGAAAGTTTCTGCTGTACTGACCTGACTTTGGAAGCTTATATCTCGCAATCTATAAGGAATTTGGAGATGATCCAAAAATAAAAGTTGTAGCCCATTATGTCTAGTGTTTAGAAATGTAATTCA